GTCAGTGCAAACAAGTATGAATTTTGCTTCAGGTAAGAATGTACCCAAAATTGGCAAAGCTCTTCCCAACTGCAAGAGAAAGAGCCTGAGGTTTTAAAAATCCAGGGTGGGAGGAAACAAGCAACCTGCCCCTCAGTGAGGATCCTCGTTGTGTCCCTGCATCAATCCATGTTCTCAGTTCCTGCCTGTCCAATTGTAAATCCAAAACAGGAAGAGTAGCCTTCTCCGAGAGCCAATGGTTCTTAACCTGACACGATAGCCAGGTTGGCCAGCTCAGTGGCAGTCCAGTTCTAGCGTGTATGAAAGAGAATTTTGATTCGTCTTATGCCACAAGGGGAAAAGAACGGGTGCATTCTGCATTTGCCATAACCTGTGATCCAGTTCTCTCACTTGCAATTGCTTTTCATAGAAGCAAATCGCAACAGGAAATCTGACCGAGGGCCTCCCCATGGCAAAGGGCTCAGCTCCAAATTTTCCAGCAAAGGGTGGCAAGTGGAATTCTAGGATCAGATCAAGGTTCAAATCCCAGCTTCGCAACCAGAACGGTAGAGCCTGGGCTGAAAAAACAGTTCTTAAGGTGCTAACAATGCAACCTGTGCGAAGGATACCAGGTACAAAGAAACACAGAGCGGAGTGGGGTGGGTGAGCCCCACCTAAGGTTGGATGACTAAGGCACCAGAAACAAAACCACCGAGGGCTCTCCAGTGCTTTGGAATCTTTTTTCCGCCTCTTGTGCGGGTGGCCCCGAGCGGCACGCCTGCCTGAAAAGATTAGCATCGCGTGATTTGAAGGCTATCCTTTTGCAGTAAGAATCATCGTGGCAACCCGCACATCTGTAAAAGCGCAGTTCCAGAACACGTGTGTGTGTGTGTGTGTGTGTGTGTGTGTGTGTGTGTCCCTCTTCTCTCAAATTCACCCCGTCCGCCCCAAAACAAGCCTGTTCATTATTTATCCCTTGCAAAATCTTTGCAATTATAATTGGCATAGGGAGAGAGACGGTAAGGTTTGTACAAAGCAGGAATCTGCGGGGAGGCAAAGGCCTCATAGACATGGAGTGGAGAAGGTTTCTTGCCCATAAAGCCACATCCACATGTTCAGGGTGTTAGGCCAACAGTCCATTCCCTCCCATAAGAATCACCCAGGGATTTCTGGTTAGATCTCAACCTACTTTTTGCTCACTCTGGCTGGTGGAATGCCCAGAGACCGGGTTTTTATAAATATGCAAATGAGAATTATTTGGATGAATTATTGGTATTATTATTGAGGTTCCCACCCACATAAAAAGAAACTTACTCAATTCATCCAAGAGGGCTTCAGCAGCTCAGTCGGCGGATAGATTAAATTTGCAAGCATTTGCATCTCTGGCCAAAATAATGAAAACAAACCTTCACCACTGCAGCTGTAATGCTAAAAGAGGCACTCCCCTCATATGTGGGATGCAGTGCTGCTTTTCAGGCTGCTTCCACCTGCTCAGTGTGAGAAGTCCCTGAATCCCACATTTTTGTTTTACGTCTGCTGCTGGATTAATCTTGGAGAAAACCGTTCCTTCATTTTTTGGAATCATAAGAACATAGGAAGCAGTGTCCCAGGTGGAACTAAAGGCCTACCTCAGGGGTGGTGAACTCGGCCCCCTGAATGTGGTTGGGATGCAATTCCCATCAGCCCCAGCCAACATGGCTGGCATAAAGCTATCCGGAAGGAGGCTGTTGATCCATCTGGTCCAGCGTGATCATGATTATGATTACATTTTTATACTGCCCATAGCCAAAGCTCGCCAGGCAGTTGACAACAATAATCATAGAATCATACACACAAGTCACCCATCCCAGTTCTGACCAGGCCTGACCCTGCTTAGCTTCCAAGACTCTGCTTCCCCAGCTGCTGACTGGATGCTTCAGAGCGCAGGATAGGAGAACGCGTGTGTTTCCCAACCGTCTGGGGGACCACTACTGAACGCAACACACCACCAGAGCAACAATCACTCACAGCCACCATATCTCACTTGCCCAGTCCATCAAAATGCTGGCCAAGACATCCCTCCCACTCAGGACTTGATGAAGCCCAGCACCCAGAGCAAGAACTGTGGGGTATAGTGGGTGCTTCTAGGGCTGGGAAGACCAGGTACAAATCCCCATGCAGCCAGAACCCTCATGAGCGACTTGAGCCCAGCCTTAATCTACCTTACAAGGTTGTTGTAAGAATAAAACAAGGGTTGGAGGAAACAATGGAGAAAGTAAAAGGAAGCACTTGATACTTCGTTTTGCTCACAATACACACAGAAGCAGGGAATTTACAATCCAAGGGTTAAGAACATAAGAATGTCAGTTCTGCCCAGCTGGATCCAATTCAAGCTCCACCTAGTTCAGTGCTCCAAACATGTGGCAAATCAGATCCCCACAGGATTCCCCAGAGGGATGGGTGCAAGACCCCCCCACAAGCCCCTCAGCAACTGGTGGGCCACCTCTTGTGAAGGAGGGAGCCTGTGGCCAGGAAGGCTAGTAGCCATGGATCACCTCCTCCCTGGTGAATTTCTCCAATCCCCTTTTAATGCCATCCAGACCGGCAGCCATCAGCTCTTCCTGTGGCAGGAAGTTCCACAGTTTAACCACATGTAGTGTGAAGAAATATTTCCTTTTACCTGTCCTAAACCTCTGCACGATCAGCTTCCTGATGACCAGGGTTCAAGAAGTACAGGAAAGGGAGCAAAATGTCTCCTCTCCGCTTTCTCTGCACCATGCACGATTTTAAACCCCTCTCTCCTGTCCCTGCATCCTCGGCTTTCTTCCAAGCTGAGCGGGCCCAGTTGCCATGGCTGCTGCTCAGAGGGCATCTCTCCAGCTCCTGGATTGTTTTGGGGTCCCTGTTCTGCACTTTTTCCAATAAATTGCTTGCTTTTTCATCAGTTTTATGTAGTCATGATGTTACATCACACCATACACTTTGCAGCAAGAAAACGCAGCTCGGCAGAAGAGCTTCTCTTGGCAGGGACAATCGCCAACGAGTCCAGGTGGGGTCGGGAAACACCCCGGTCTGTGCCCCAGTCTGCCCATCTGCAGCAACAATGGCTGTTTTCTAGCTTCCAGTTTCAATTATGGGCACTTTAGCTCACTTATCGTTTCAAAAAGTGGGGGAAAGAAATAGGCTATGGGGAGCAAAGCCCCCTCAGTTCATCTGCTCATTTACTGAGCAACAAATGCTGCTATTTCTTTTATTATGTGTGTGGGTTTTTTTTTTTTTTTAAATCCCCTCATCATCTCATCCTGCACTGCTCTTCCTTCCCTCCACCCCAACTGCCCATCTGCCCATGGAAACGGCACTCTAACAATCAGAGAAAGAGAGGGAGGGGGGAAAGATGGTATCTCACCATTTCAGGACCAGGGAAGGGATGGACTGGAGCAATCAGAGGTTTCTTAGCGTTGGGGATTAAAGATAGACCCTCCTTGGCCAAAGGCAGGCCACCTGGTTGCCATATGCCACCAGCAACCCACCTCTGGGGATTGCAGTTTTAGAATACAGGACTTGGAGAAAGGATAGGAGGATACACTGTTCCAAGGTGTCTCAGAAAGGAAGAGAAAGAGGATCCATAAATCTTAACTCCTGTGGTTCAGGTAAATCAAATGTTGACTTGAACTGCAAATTGAAAGGCTCTCCATTCTGATAAACAAAACAAGCACTCCAAGAGCTTTCGCTATGTGTGGTATAGAAATGCAATAAATACTAATAATAGGCAAAGTATCCCTGCATTTAGACAAGTACCCCATCAGGGAGAGGCAAAGCCAGGACCGAATCCAGTTTTCTATGGGGAAGGTGGATGGTTTGCATTTATACACACTTACATGCACAACAAAGTATATGTGCCTTATAGCTAATGGGGCAGGAAAAAGATCTAATAAATAGATAGATAGATATTGTTTCTGTACTGGTGCAGATATTGGTTATCTACCGGACATTTCAAAGGTAATGCACACTCTAATGCAGTTATAGCTCTTCAGCCTTATTTTCTGTGAATTAAAGACCAGAAAAGGAAAATAGAAATGGAAGAAATGGTAGTGACTGGACAATGTCAGGTAGAAAGTAGGGCTGTGCCTACAATTCACCCCATAGGATGTAGGAAGATGAGAAAGCAAACAGTTTTAAGCAGATAACTGAGGAATTCACGACCAGTGAGGTACGGGATGCCCACCAGCTTGGATCCGGTGCCTTTGCAAAAGAAAACAAGGCACAGATCCAGGTCCAGGCAGCTATCCAGTGGCACCATCTGGACCAAACTTTGGGGCAGCCCCCCAGTTCTCCAAATGAGCAGGAAGGACTCCAAAATGCAGCAGGCCATCTCGCCCCCTTGTGAATTCTTTAAAGAGTCCTTCGCTTTTCCTGTCTGTGTAACAAAGGCTCTGATTTAGGTGTGGTGAACTGCATAAAATGAATAATGACTGTAACAAATATTCTCTGATGAATAATCTAGATAGATAATCCAGATAATAATATTAGAAAAAAATCCATCTATAATAAACAATTGAATAAAATATGAGGGGACTGATAATTGGAAGATTAGCTGGGTGTTAGATGGAGGTGATCTGATGCTAATGTGGAGGAGGTTTGGATTTTACAAGTGCTGATGAAATGATGCAGATGAAGAGAATGTGCATCTGCTTCCCATTTTCCACCACAGAACTTGTGGCAGCCTCCCTGCTTTGTTCCCCCATCCACATCTGAGCTGCACAACAGCCCTGCAAAGTAGGCAATGCCAAGAAAGAGAGAGACTGGCTGAGCAGGGATTTGCACCCAGGCCCCTCAGTTCCTGGTCCAAGAGGCTAACCACTGTGCAGTGTGGGATAGCTTCCCATCCTTCCTTCTTGGCCCCATCCCCAGACTTCCCAAGTTCAAGGCACAAACTGGAAGCCCAAGGCCCAGGTTCTCCCTGCGCTCATCCAACACGAGCAGCTGAAGGCCGAGCGCCGGCAAGGGAGCCAGCGACAAGAAAAACAAGGAGAGACCACAACTACCTCCGCGGCTTTCACTGTCTGCAGGCTTCACCTGGATTGGACGCGCCATCTGCAGAGGGAAAGAGAAGCCACATGTTAGCAAAGTTTTGCATGTTCGGGAGGGCTGCAGAAACTCTCAGGTAGCATCATTAAGAAATACAGTCCAAGCGGGGCCTGCAGCAAAATGCTGCAGCATGGAGTTCTCCTGGTCGAGTTCCAGCCAGCCATGCCCTCTCCTAGATACTCCATTCCAGGATATATTTCCCCACCACCAGACACGGCACAACAGTGTTCCAGGACCCTGAGCATGCTCAGCCTTCCTGGGGCTGATCTTTAAAGCTGAACTAAACAGGAAACTCCTTGTAACGCTACTTCAAAGTATTTGTCTACCTGGCTGGTGCGGGTGACTTTGACCCTTCAGCCTCAAGATGGGAGAAACATAGAAACAGAGCGAGTCAGAAGGGGTCTCCTGGGCCATCTAGTCTGACCTCCGGCACCAGCCAGCTCTGCTCACAACATGCCCGCCATGTGCATGTCCAGCCTATCCTTGAACACCCTCACCGATGGGGCCTCAGTCACCTCCCGTGGAAGCCCATTCCACACCCTGGGGGTCCTAACCATCAGGAAGAGCTTCCTGGCATCCAAATTGAACCTGGGTTCCCTGAGCTTTGCTCCGTTGGAGTGCGTCCGGCCTTCCTCTGCAGGGGAGAACAGGTCTCTCCCCACCTCTGTGTGACACCCCCTCACACACCTGCATGTCGCCAACAGATCCCCTCTGAGCCTCCTCTTCTCCAGGCTGAAGAGGCCCAGTTCCCTCAGTCCCGCCTCATACGGCTTCCCCTGCAAACCGGCCACCAGCCTTGTGGCCCTGCTCTGCACTGACTCCACCCTGGCTATATCCTTTCTGCAATGAGGGGCCCAGAACTGAGCACAATACTCCCGTTGCGGGCGCACCAGAGTCTCTGGCACCCCCACTTTGGAATGGATTCTTGACAGAGACACCACCGGTGCCTCAATGCACCATATTTCTCTCAGCACTTAGCAAAAAGCATACCCATGTGCATGAGAATAATTTGCCAAGTGTTGATTCATGGTGGGCATGTCATGAGTGGAGCCAGCAGGAGCCGGGGGTCAGACTAGATGACCCAGGAGGTCCCTTCCAACTCATTCCAGTTCTATGTTTCTAAAACCGAATTCCACCTGAATTCATTTCAGATCGATTTGAGACAATTCTCAAATAAACAAGCAGAATTTTTCAAAATAACTTCACTCCAGAAGACACAAAACAAACCAATAGGGGTCTGTGCAGGGTGCGGGGGAGAGAAAGAGTGCAATTTTGCAGTAGCAAGTAGACCCTCCCCCATTAAATAGGGGCACTGGAGGGGCAGCAATGCATGTCTCGCTTTTTCTCTTCCTGTAAAACCTGAACTGCCCCACACACACCCTTCTCCTTTCCCAAAAGGCCTGTTACTCCACTCGCATGAAAAATATGAAATATTTTTTTTAAAAGCACGCATTGCCATGGCAACAGCTTTGCACCACATGGAGCCCGATTTCTGTGGTTGCTCTGGAAACTAGCTCTCCTGGGGGTCGGGGGCTCCTCCACTTTAGAACAGGCAGTGGGGAGAATGGAAGGCAGATGCTCTTTTGCATTGTGGCAAACCAGGATGATGGAAGGAGCACCCCCAGCCGGCAGGACAGGGTGATACCAGCCCAGCCTGGCCGGCCACAGCATTGCTAATTTTGCTCCAGGCCTCGTTTCCTCGGAGTGGGGCTCTTTATCTTAAGCATCCCATTCACAGCCAGCCCCCAAGGTGCATCTGCCTGCTCCCAAAAGCAGCCCAAATATCCGCACATTCTAACTGGGTTGCCCGAAAGTCCTCCCGGGAGAAGTTTTGGATAAAGGGGGCGGGGGGATGGAGCCAACCCCTCGTTGTCTCGTCTTTATTTATTTATTTTTTATTAAAACATTTCTATGCCGCCCCATTCGCCGAAGCCTCGGGGCGGCTCACAACATAAAATTAAAATACAAGAAATAACAATATAAAATAAAATAAAAGCATTCATGACAGGAAACTACCTGGCACCTTTTAGATCCCAGACGTGAAACGCATGGGGCAACTGACTTACATACACTCCCAAGGAACTTTCCTTTTAATGCCGCCATGCTTGCCGGGAAATACAGAGAAACATAGAAACAGCGAGACAGAAGGGACCTCCTGGGCCATCTAGTCTGACCTCCGGCACCAGCCGGCTCTGCTCACGACAAGCCAAGTAGAAGAGGCAAACACATGCTGGGGCTGAGCTGCAGGTTATGACAAGATGGGGGCTTTCATAACCTCGTGGGGCACTGCTTCCGGATTTTTCTTTTTAAAATGGAGCTGCTACATATACACCTGCATCCTTTTGCCTGCAGAGCAGGTACTTTATCCCAGACCAATGGTCTTTCCATAAAGACAAAGCAAGATTCTGGTCCTCATGGTGCTGAATCAAGGGGAACAGAGGAAGTGGACTTAACATTAGGCCAAAATATTTACCCATCTGGTCCCGTATTACATACACTGAAAGGCAGCGGCTTTCCAGGGCCTGTGCAGAGAAAGTTTTTATGCACTACCCTCAATCTGTAACCCTTTTAAACTCAGAGAAGTTGAAAAACACACCTGGGAAGGTTTGAGTGCAAAGCAGGTGGTTGGGCACCGAGCCGTACTCCTTTCACAGGCACCACGGGGTCTGTGATAGAAAACACAGGCAGTGCAGAAAGGGGGGGATGGGAAAGGGTGTCTCCCCCCACACACACACACACACAATTGACACTTTCAGTCCAAGGGCCAAATTCCCAGGGGAAGAGGTGCCCAAAGGGAAAGGAGGCCAGGAACAAATAGCTCATCACACCTGCAAAATTTAGCCTAAAGATCTTCTGCCCACAGCTACATCTCGGGAGATTCTAGGCTTGCAGCATGGGGGGAGAGGTGTGCAAAAGCCCAGGAGCCCCCAAAGTGAAGGGCAGGAGAAAGGGGGGCAGTCAGACGGAGCAAGTGTGGGCTCTCCCATGCTAGAGGCATTCAAGACGCACACAGAGGGAGGGCTTGCGCTGGGCTGTGGGTCGGAGCCAGTGGCCCCATCCAACTCCGCTCTTTTAGAAACATAAAAACATAGAAACAGGGCGAGTCAGAAGGGGCCTCCAGGGCCATCTAGTCTCCAGGTTGAGTTCAAGCCAGCCGGCCAGCCATGCCCTCTCCTAGATACTCCATTCCAGGATATATTTCCCCACCACCAGACACGGCACAACAGCCTTCCAGGACCCTGAGCATGCTCAGCCTTCCTGGGACTGATCGTTAAAGCTGAACTAAACAGGAAACTCCTTGTAACGCTACTTCAAAGTATTTGTCTACCTGGCTGGTGCGGGTGACTTTGACCCTTCAGCCTCAAGATGGGAGAAACATAGAACAGAGTGAGTCAGAAGGGGTCTCCCGGGCCATCTAGTCTGACCCCCAGCTCCAGCCACAGCTCCGCTCATGACATGCCCACCATGTGCATGTCCAGCCTATCCTTGAACACTCGCACTGATGGGGCCTCAACAACCTCCCATGGAAGCCCATTCCACACCCTCGGGGTCCTGACTGTCAGGAAGTGCTTCCTGGCATCCAAATTGAACCTTGGTTCCCTGAGCTTGGCTCCGCTGCAGCACGTCCTGCCTTCCTCTGCAGGGGAGAACAGGTCTCTGCCCACCTCCGTGTGACACCCCCTCACATACCTGTATGTCACCAACAGATCCCCTCTGAGTATCCTCTCCTCCAGGCTGAAGAGGCCCAGTTCCCTCAGTCTCGCCTCATACGGCTTCCCCTGCAAACCGGCCACCAACCTTGTGGCCCTTCGCTGCCCTGACTCCAACCTGGCTATATCCTTCCACATGGTGGGCATGTCGTGAGAGGAGCCAGTTGGTGCTGGAGGTCAGACTAGATTGCCTGGGAGGCCCCTTCTGACTGCTCTGTTTCCGTTTCCTGTAATAAGGGGCCCAAGAATATTGCTTTTTTCTACAACAGGCTCCTCTCTCCCATCACACACCATCCAAAAAGGAAAAAATGTAGAAGCAGTGTTAAAGCAGAGAGCAGTGGCATGGAGAAGAGGCGTGTTTTTTGTGAACTGCCCAACTGAAACAATGCTTCTTTGGAAGCGGGGCACAATCACCAGCCAGCCCATATGGCAGCTGAACCATTTTACGTCCAAGGACTGGATTCAAGACAGGTAGAATCTCACACAGCACCTGCAAACCGAACGTTTCTAATTATGAGGATGCGCAACGGGCAAATGATAGAGGAAAACAACATGTTCTCAACATCCCAGTGCAGGATTCAGCTGCAGACGCTTCTGGACAATGTCATTAGGGGTTTACCATCTGAGGCAGTGCCTGAGCCACATTCTGGATGCAAAATGCCTATCCAAAGGGGACATGGAAATCCTAAGCCAGGGGTTTTGTTTTTCATCATGGTTTTTGCCATTCTGAGCATGCTCCAAGATTAGCATTTGTGAATATATAATTAGAAAGGAAAAAAAAACCTTCATTATTCCATCCTTATTCTGAAACGTACTTGTCCGCCCATGCTTCCCCAGAATATTTTTTGTTCTCGTGCTATCACTGATCTCCCCTCCTCTCTCTCCCTCTCTCATGCACATGCAGGGACTTGTGTCTGCCTGTCCACATCCCAATTACACAAGCCTCATCTTCCACATATACCTAGTGCATTTCCCTTCTCTTTGCAGTAATATTTAGAGTCCTTTTATCCCAAACAATGATTGCCAGATTGCTGTCGGGGGCCGGTCACTATTCTCATACAACACTGGTCCTCTCTCAGCTTCACTGGCTGATAGAGGACCAGTATTATATGTCCGGTCTGGACATATACATTGAAGTTCAGGCCCAATGTAAGGTGCCGGTATTAACCCATAAAGCCCAAAATGGCTTGGGACCAAGATACCTGAAGGAACATCTTTTTCCCTTCAAGCCTTCTCGCCCTCTGAGATCTGCAGCAGAGGCCCTGCTCCGGGAACCCTCCTTGAAGGAGATTAGGA